TCGACGGTGACCGGGATCACGGTGGAGCGGACCTCGTCGACAACGGCGTTACGGCGACTGCAGTGGGCAAAACGAGTAGGCAAGAGTGGAATAAGTACTACAGCATCGAGACGAAGCTGTAGAGTCAACAAGAAAGGGCAAGAGCTCACCGGACGATGCTGGCCACGGTGAATCGGAGTTTCTGTTGAGGTCACCATCCGCGAGGAAGATGAACGTGGACAGCGAGCTCTCGGCGAAGTCAAGCGGTAGCAACAGCTCGATCGGATGTGCAAGGAGCAGGCGGAACTAGGACATGGCTTTTCTGGGGCTATATTGCACTGAGGAGACGAGAGAAGCTCGCCGGAGTTGAGACGGCGGTGTCGGAAAAACAGAGGGAAGGAAAGAAAAGCCAACGACGACGTCTGGGTCTTATAGCTCGGCCAGGAGAGCGCGGAATCGACACACAGCGTGCTCCCCGCACCAACGCGAAGCCAAGGGCGGTTGCAGGCGCGCCTGGAAGACCGGAGAAAGGACGCCGGCGGTGGGGCGGTGACCGTGTACTGTTCACCCACAATTACAGAATTGCCACTAAGCTCATTTTACAAATTACTCCCAAATTTTCTAAAGAAGTTGAAAATCTCCAAAAATAAAAGTTGCTCAACTTTTCAAACTCTACAACTTTGTTTCAAGAAATATTTTCAAATTCTGCCTCCATTTTAAAATTTGAATTTAGGGTGCATTTGAGCATTTGAATCATTTCAAAATTACTTCAATTTTTATATGTAAACTTTAAAAACTTTGTATACCAAAGTTGATCCTAATAACATAAGCTTCAACTTTGCTTTTTGTCACAACCCCAAATTCCAAAAGGATTTGGAATTAGACAAAAGGGGCAAAAATGATTTTTGTAATTGGAATTTGAATTCAAATTTGATTTGTTTACCTTTTGACTTAACTTTGATTTTTGACCAGTAACATGGCCCATTAGGGTTATTTGAGTCAATTAACACATGGTCTCACATGATCACATGAATTTTTGACTCTTGTGGTCATGATTTTCATTCAGAGTTTTGAATCACATTGTAACACATAAAATAACAACTTATGAAATAAAGCTTATTTAGTGAATGCATTCAAATTTTTCTACTTTATGAATGATTTGCAATGCATATGATGACTTGTCAAATTTTAATGATAGGTCAAAACACCAGAGGTGTTACAGCAGCACCAGCGTCCGGTCACTCTCCAGCTTTTGCTCTGCCTGCGTCACCATACGTCAGCTCTGGACGCACATAGCCAGCGTCCGGTCACTGCGTGACCAGAGTCCAATCCACTCTGTGGGACCTTTCTCACCTTCGTTTTATCACCGAGTTGATCCACATCAACTCTAACTTTATCTCCCTTGTAAATGTGCCAACACCACCAAGTGTACACCACCATGTGTATGTGTGTTAGCATTTTTACAATCATTTTCCAAATGATTAGCCACTCAACTTGCCACGCCACTCAATCCTAGCGATGATGCAAAGTTAGATCACTCGAGTGGCACTAGATGATTGGTATACAAACAAGTTTGCCCCTCTTGATTGTACGGCCATCTATCCTAAACTCGGTCATTAACTTCTCTACAAACCTATGATCGGTGAAATGAAATGCCCTAAGTTATACCTTTGCCTTGCGCATTTCATTTCATCTCCTCCAATGTCGATGCAACATATGCACCAACACGATCAACAATGATATAATCCACTTCATATCATCACGTTATCATATTGGTTCATCGATCTTGACTTCACTTGCTTTTCACCGTTGCCTTCGTCCATCGGCGCCAAGTCTTGCTCAAGCTTCACCGCCACGCGGTCCATCGCTCCAAAGCCTCTGACTTGCCCTTCACGCTTGCAACCGGTTCATCAAGCCAAGTCTTATCTTGATCTTCTCCACCTTGATCACATGACTCAATGTCATGTCTCATGTGCAATAAGCTCCTTCATCATCACATGTGTGAGCTTTGCAACATCTCCAAGCCATTTTCACCTTCATGGCATATGTTGCTCACACACATGTACTTATGGACTAATTACCTGTGTATCTCCCATAAACACAGTTAGTCCACCTAGGTTATCACTCAATTACCAAAACCACACAAGGACCTTTCAAGGTGCATGTTGATCTTCACATAATATCATCTCTAGTGGTAAAGGCTCATCTAGGGGCAACTTCTTGTTAAAACAGAATGATGGGATGCATTCTTAGCTCATTGAACCAATAATATAGACAAAATGCATGGAAACTCCATGAAACATACCTCTTAGCAGGTGGGACTGGAGTTGGTGGTCAAACACTTTCCTACTCAACCATAGACCGGCGAAATAAAAAGCCCTATAAATATATGTTTGCCTTCCACATCCCATTTCATCTCCTCTGTCAGTGATGCTATGCAATCATCCAACCTCCATCTTCATCAAATGATGAACAATGATCATCCATTAGCGTAGCCAACCACGCTACCTTTGATTATTGTCCATGGCATTAAGTCCTTCATCGTCCACTGTCAAGCCACTTGTTCATCAACTCGAATCAATACTCGGCTTGATCTCTCTTGAATGATATGACCCACTTCATAGCTTCATGTGATCTTTTTGGTTCATCGATCACAGCTTCGCTTGCTCTTCACCGTTGCCTCGGTCCATTGGCGCCAAGCTCTCTACTCGCGCTTCATCCCCTTGATGGTCCATTGCACCCGAGCCTCTAGCTTGCCCTTCATGCTTGCAACCCGATCCATCGTAACCAAGCCATGTCTCTTAATCATATCTTCTCCACCTAATCACATGACTCCACGTTATGTCTCATATGCAATGAGCTCCTTCATCTCACTAGTTGAGCACTATCAACATGTCTAAGTCATCTCTCCACCATGGCTTAATGTGTTGTTCACACTAGTGTACCTGTGGACTAAAAACCTATATATCTCAACATACACCACATTAGTCCACCCAAGGTTGTCACTTAATTACCAAAAGCAAAGTAGGACTTTTCAGAAGTGGGTGCTGAGGTTTATAGCGATGTCCTAGACTTGAAGCTCATGAAGTCTGCATCCTAAGGCTCATGAGCATCGCACAAGACATGTCCTCTAGCAGGATTTGCACTTCAATATACCTAGTGGCGGATCCAAGATAAAAATCCACCTATGACGAATTTTTATACTACTAATTCATGTGAATTTATTTAGCCATGTGCATCACCATCCCATCCAAGGCACATGATTCTCCTACGAGAAGACACCAGTGTAGGGCCATTTATGAATCTAGGTGAGGAGAGAAATTCATTTCATACCAAAGAGATTGATAAAAGGGAAATGAAGAGATAGCAGGAAAGGGAACCTTATTCATTTTTTTTGAAAAGATACACATTCATTAAATTGTTTAGAGCACAACAATGATATAATAACAAAAATACTCACGTTGCATCTAAGTGCATCTATAAGAGATGCAACGAAAACCAAGTTCTTGTTCTTAAAAGGGCCAAAATTAGAATTTTTTTTCTCATCAACCATCAAGTTCAAACATAAGTTAGTTGAGAGGATTTTAACAATAATGTTGCGATCCGTACATCATTGGCATATCCACATTGGGGTGGACACAAAATCATAAAAAATGATTAATCAAAAGTTGGATTAATCAAAATTTAGTGATATATTCCCGGTTACTTATTTGGTATTTAAGTGTTAACTGAAATTAATCGATTTAACTGAATTTCTTTGCGACTATTATGTTGAATAGTGAAACTATGTCTATTCCTATTTAAATGTATTCCTATGAGATTTTACTCGTTAGACGGATTCTTAATTATTTTTGTTTCTATCTTAATTGTTGACACATTCCTTGTCTTTTTGGTTTCCTACGTACGAGGGATTCTATTTGTTAGAAGCATTCTTAATTATTTTTGTTTTTATTTTATTTGTTGACATATTCCTCGTTTGGTGGTTTCCTATGCAAATCTCCTGTAGAAATATAATATATTTGCCGTTAGTCGATTCTAGTTGACTTTTACTAACCGGTTAAAATTCTGTTCAGACAAAAATTTGTTAAAATTCCATTCAAACCAAAATTATTCATAACTAATTTAACTTATCTGATTTAACGGCATTATTAACGGCATGCCAACGCCTATCTTGACCCGCAGCGGCACAAGGCCTGAGGCTGTGTTTAGTTCGTGAAATGAAAATTTTTGGATGTCATATCGGATGTTTCGGGGATGTTGGAAGAGGTTTTCGGATACTAATAAAAAAAACTAATTACATAGCTCGCCTGAAAACTACGAGACAAATTTATTAAGTCTAATTAATCCATCATTAGCGCGTGTTAGTTACTGTATCACTTATGGCTAATCATGGACTAATTAGTCTTAAAATATTCGTCTCGCGATTTTCAACTAAACTGTACAATTAATTTTTTTTTTCTATATTTAATACTCTATATATATGCCGTAGGATTTGATGCGATAGTTGGGGGTAAAATTTTTTGGAAACTAGATGAGGCCTGAGTCTGCTTCTGCTCGGGCACATGCATCGTCGTCACTTCCAAAGAATCAGAGAACCTCGTGATCCGTACGGCTCAAGGCTCAAGAGTAACCGTTTTGTGAGCCTCACACTCCCCAGTCCACCGTGCACCGAGACCAGCTCTCCCCCGCCCCCCGTACACCCGCCCCATACGAGGCCGTGCGTCAGCGATAACAGCACCGGCGTGGTCGTGTGGAGCACCGGCCGCCCCAGCCCCAGGTCTCCTTCCCTCGGGTCGTCGTCGTCGTCTCCACGGCGGCACCCCTCGTCTTGGAGGCGAAGAAAGAAAGCGGCCACCTATAAGTACCCCGCGCCTCCCAAGCCTGCCTCCCCAACTAACCCCCCCAAACCTACCACCTCCCATCCATTTTCGCCTTGGCTCGACCCGCGGAGCTCAGAACTCAGAGAGGGCATCCACGGCGGCGGCGGCAGTGCGAGAGGGGGTCCGAGGGAGGATTGGAGGATGCACCTCTACAACGCGTGGCTGCCGCCACCGGTGGCCACCGCGGCGCGTAGGGAGGCAGCTGCGTTTGCGGGCGCTGTGCGGACCGCCGCGGGCGCGTGGCTGCCCGGGGACCCCGACTCCGCCTACGCCACACTCAAGTGGATCTCCGTGTTCGACCTGTAATTTCTCCCTCGAACTCTCGCCCCTTCCGCGGCTGCGTTTCGATTGCTTTGAGGTCTCGTTTATACTTCGGTCTGCTGGTTCGTGTGGGCGACGGCCTGCTGCTCGATTGGTGCTGCCTCCACTGCTGTTCCCTAACTTGACTTAGCAATCCGGTTTATCGAGTAGCGGATTTCGCCTTTAGTGTTGTCAATGTCTGTCTGAGTGCTGGTTTTTGCTTGATGCGATCGCGTTTGAGTAGGGGAATTTTGAGTTGCGGCAATCACTATCTCAACTTCCTAGTGTCCGTGTTCTTTTCGGTGTGCAATTTCAAATTTAGGTATTCTGCAAGCACTTTTTCGTTCTGTTTTGTACTCCAGTTCTCTGCTGAATTTTCTGAACTATGGATCACATTGAAAATTAGAACATCAAATGAGTAATTCCAGAGAACTGCTTCTTTTGAGGTGTGATTTTGATCAGAATTAGAAATTCAGATTATTACAATTGTCAGAAGTATGTCTAACTGTCCTTGGATTTACTATATTGTCAAATGCACAGCTGTATGTTTGCTGAATACAATTAGATTTTGGGAAATTGTTTTTCATAAAATGTTATACTGTCAAATGCACAACTGTGTGTTTGCTGAATGCAAATGCCATGCAATCGATTGTGCTTTTGTATAAAATGCCACTTTGAATATTTCATCAGTAAAATGCCATTACAAAAATGATAATATGCTTCTTTCGCTGTATTTTGCTATTTCACCCAACTTTCCCACTGACAAAACGTGAACTGATCAGAACATCCTGGTTCCTTTTCCAATCCTACTGAACATGATTCAGCTCTACGGTTCTGTTGCAAAAGCTTATATCTGTACCCACCAGAAGTCTTTGGCATGTTATCCAAATAGACAAATACTTGTACTTCTGATTTGGCTACCTCTTCTGCTATCTGCTTTTTGAGCAACTGAGCACAGACCTCCACTCCTAGTGAAAGCAATGTTGGTGGTGATGCTTTAGAGTGGGAAGACTTGTGCATTGTTCCTTGATTGAAATTGTATGATAGTGAGAGTGGCAGCGGCACAATTCAAGTGACCTGGCGGCAGGCATATTTGTCAAGGCACTGCATACAGTCAGAAGTTGGCTGCATGGAGATGGAGCCAGTAGGTACATCATGCATGTCGCACAGAGCATCGATTGCTTCTTCCTGTGGCATTGGTTGCTGGAATTAGAGAAGGTGCCTAAGGGTGTTCTGAACGTTCAGCATTAAGAAAAACTGAAAAAAGAACATTGGATTTAAAGATGGAAATACACCCAAAATAGCACATTATGACTTTCCACCTTTTAAGTTGCGGTTTCTTGATCAGATTTGTTTACTACATTTTGCAACAATGCTTTGAGTGTTTTTTTTTTTAAAAACTCTCTTGAATTTCTGATAATTGATTGGTTAATTTTTTTTTGATGTACTGAGTATCTTACGCGAACCCCTCTTTGGGTTCTAACAAAAAGAACTCAGATTCACATGAGCGATTGATGGATCTGATTCAAAGGGATGCAGACAACTGAAACCATAATTAAGTCATTTCTAGACCATTTAGGGGATTGTTTGCAAACATTTACATATGTAGACTTAAAATACTTTGTAATAATGTGGTTTCTAGAGTTTGTGGATTATTAATGTCGGTGTTCTTTTTCAATGTATTTAGTTTTATTAAGGCGAAGAGTGACATTGCTCCTGAGGATGTACAGGCTCTTGTAAAGCTTGGACTGGAGATATTTCATGCATCGCATAACAAGTTTGTTGTCCAGGTAATGCTCAGTAGTTAATGATTTGTACATGGATAGTTCAGATCTGTTTGGTCTTTGGTGATATATTCTTTTCTTGGTAAATGAATGATAATCAGATTAAGTGGGGAGGTCTGCTCATCAGGCTTCTAAGAAAGCATGGGAAGAGGCTTTCACTTGATGTGCAATGGAGACCACTTTATGATACGTTGATAAGGACTCATTTCAAGAGGTAAAATGTGACATTATACCCATTTCCTACAATGAAGAAAATGACAGAAGGCTAAGTGAATGTCATGTCGCTTTCAGAAACATGGGACCTGAGGGTTGGAAAGTAAGGAAGCAACACTTTGAGACTGTCACCTCTTTAGTGCGTGCATCCAGGAATTTCTTTCCTGAAGGTGTGGCTGCTGAAATTTGGTCAGAATTCAGGTTTGGCATATTCAGCACGAATCTTTACTTACATTCCATCTCATTCATGCTTTTCTAACTGCTTTGCTGGTTTATTATTTCTTTTAATAACCTGTGTTGTCCACCCTCCATAAGCCCGTATAGTGTTTGTCTGTTTGGCCAGATAGAGTCACAAAGGATATGCTTCACATGTATTCATTTGACTTCTATTTGAGTAAGTAGCCAATACAAACAAGGTTTGTGATAACAAAGGTATCTAATTACCTGTAGTGCAATATGTAAAAGCCCGTCACAATCATCTTTAAGTACTCTCGTGGTACTTAGCATTGGTGTCAAACCCCGTAAGTCTAAGTTTTTCCTTCTGGTGCTAATCATATAAACATCTGTCTCAAAAAGAATGCAATTCTCGATCTGGTCTAAGCCAGTCAAAACTATTTTAAGTTCGACTGTGTATATAGAAAGTAGTATCATCAGTTATGATTCCAAATAGGTATACTATGAAAATATATTCCATGATGGATCTAACAATACCTACTTGACATCATAAATATTAGTGCGATTTTGTAAAAAAATGGTCAAGTTGAAGATGGTTTTACTTTAGCATTGTAGCTAGAATTGAATTCTTCTTGGATGGAGGGAGTATAAAAGAAAAAGGATCCACTAGAAAGATTTTGCTATAATTTACTAACCATAAAAGAGTGTTATGCTCCTTTTGGCGTGAGCTGCACAAGAATTCCCTAGACAGAATGTAAATTTGCATTTGTATCTAAATTCTTGCTGGTCCTTGAACTTTCCTAGGCATGGTACTTGTGTTCCTCTACTTCTCTACATTAGGAAAGTTAACCATTTAATTCATTGACTAATGGTTTTAGCTGACATGGATCTGATGAGTGATGATGTTGGTTTTCACATGTATTTTAGGCATATAGAAGCAATAAACATATGAATGAATATAAAAATCCCTCAAATTGTGGCACCTGGATCACTATTTGATTCTTCATTGTAAGCATATCTAGTGTAGTGCAATGAGGGGCCATTTGGTAGTGTAAATGGTGAAAACAACTGAAATGCTACATATGGCTAGTTGGTTGTTTGGTGATAGAATTTGAACATCAGCGAAGGGAGGTGGATGTTTGGTACGGAGCAGGTGGGAAGTGATTCTTGTGGGGATTGAATGAGGAGCAGTGGGGTGCCTTTTTTTTAGCTCCCAGCTCGCAGTGTAAATGGAGAAGCGAGTCTTCTCAGATCTCTGCCAGAATCTAGTACTCCCTCCGTCCCTAAATAACTGTCGTTCTCGCTTCCCGAGAAATAACTTTAACTAATTTTATATAAAAAACTATTAACATTTATAGTATATAGTTAATACCAGATAGATCGTTGAATCTATTTTCATAACAAATTTATTTGGAGATACAAATGCTGTACGTTTTTCTATAAATCTAGTCAAACTTATGGCACAGAAACTAAAAACAACAAATATTTAGGGACAAAGCGAGTAGTGTTTTACCTGTTTGGCTGTCTAGGGGTGATTCTCACGGAGAATCTAGAGCTGGGAGCGCTTCCAAATGGCTCCTAAGGTACATGGAATAACATTATGGGTTTAATTTTTGCAATGAAACATAGCGACAGTGAAAAACGTGATAGATTGGACATACATGTCTTATGTGCTAATTCCACCTTTTCAATGTCTCTTTTCTTATCTTCTGGAGCATTAGTCCACTTAAACAAGGTGACAGGCTAGCCTAATGTTGACAAGTTTAGGGGCTTCACTGGCAATTGTATGCATGTTTAGGACCTTCTAGACTATCGTTCAATTTTAGGAACTGTCATATCCATGCAAGTTTGTGGTACCCGCAGGATAAGTTTCAAAATGGACTGTCAAGTGCTAACATGTGTGGAATAGAAACTCGACCACAAAACTTGCACAGGTCTTGGTAGCTCTAAAGCATTGTGTTCTTGGTCCTCCCCACCACTACCCAACTACCCACCCACACACAACCACATACGAAAGATCATAAGTTCATAACAGCAAGTAGTTGTATTGATAATATCATTATTGTTCTTTCCACGCCATTATTATTGTTAACATTTGATCATTTGGAAAAGTAGCACAGAAAATCAGATTATAATTGGAAATTGCTTGACAATATACTGCCAACATTGAAGTACCTTACCTTTTACTGTACTGAAACTACAGGCCCTTGCTGGAAAATCCATGGCATAACTCAGCGTTTGAAGGTGTTGGATTTCTCAGGCTGTTCCTTCCAGCGAACTCGAGGAATCAGGATCACTTTACAATGTAATTACATATTGGATTGATAAGCACCCTTCTCTCTTCTGTAGCTGAACATCGTCTTACTTTCTCTTTCAACTGATTTTGCCCTATTGCAGTGATTGGATTAAAAATTGTCTTGACATATGGGATTCTGTCACAAATTGTAACTTCTGGGACATCCAATGGGCTTCCATCATAGCACGCTGTATAAAAAATTCCAGATCGGTGAACTGGGATGCTTTTCTGCCCTTGTTATTCACAAGATACTTGAACATGTTTGAGGTATGTAAGCACTTTCAGGTTTATGCCTACATACTAGTAGTTGGTAGTCATCTTGGCTGCTTGATGAAAGTAATGTTTGAGGTATGTAAGCACTTTCAGGTTTATGCCTACATACCAATGTTTAAAATCGCCGGCTAAGGCAGTTAGCGGCAAGTTTCTCCAGACGCTACAAACGCTATAGCTGGATATAGCGTTTGCTAATTCATTTAGCGGTTTTGTAAAATATGTCACAAATCAGTGAAAGAAGCAACAGAATACAAGAATAGAGGACTACTGTGAGGAGAAGAAATTGCTTCCTTGTTGCTCCTATTGGTACAGGGTGCCGAGTGCTCCGATTGGTACAGCCTACAGGGTGTCGAGTGCTGCCGTCGAGGGACTGCTTGTCGCACTGGGCACGCCAAAACCAGCGGCTGCGTGGCTGCTGTGGCTGCGAGGAGGCCTGCACGTCGCCGCTGTGCCGGGGTGAGATGGCTGTAGTGGCACCAACACGTCGCCGCAGTTGGCGGCTCTGGTCTTCCGTCTTCTTCAGGGAACACCGCCGCCGCCGTAGCTCTTTCCAGAGGACAGGTCGAGAGGATGAATGAGATTAGGGAATTGGTAGGGTTAAGGTGGCATTTTGGGCCCCCGCTGCTGTTTTGGGCCCTCCGCTGATGAAAAATATAGGAAGCCCACTCTGATTTCAGCCCATGAGTCCGCCAGGAACTGCTTAGTGGCGCTATATCAACCCCGTTTAGCGTTTTTAGCGTACTAATTGCTGCTATTAGCGTTCAAGATCAGTTAGCGCTAAAAGGGAACTCTCCTAGCGTTGGCCTTGCTAATCCACTAAATCCGGCTATAGCGGACGCTGTATCCGGCTATTTGAAACATTGCTACATACTAGTAGTTGGTAGTCATCTTGGCTGCTTGATGAAAGTCAGAGTGGACAATAATTTGCATAAAACCTTACATGTCTTGCTACACAACTGTTTTCGAAAAAAAATACACAACTGTTTTCTTTTTTTGATTGCTAAATTTTCTTAAGGATAGTATTATTTGTTTTATTCTATAAAAATGAAGTAGGTATTAGTTTGATATTCTTAAAATTTGCTTGTTTTTTCCATCCAAATTTTACGGCTCACGCACAGTACTAAGGGTTTAGATTTGCTGTTAGCCAACGCGAGTCATCAGTATGCAGGGAATAGGGTAGGTTAGCATATATAAAGGACGTGTGTCGACAGAATATCGTCGACAGTCCTCCGAGGGGTATCCCTCCAGTCGGCGGCCGACGAAGGTACTGTAAGTACCAATTGCTCGGCGGGGGGAATTTCTTGAACTTCCTTCTCTTCCTTAATAGACGATGTAAAGAGGTCTTGAACGAAGACCCCCGGCGGAATCGCTTCGCGAGAAGAGCCTATCTTAGATAGGTGGTCGGCGAGCTGATTTTGATCTCGTACCACGTGGTGGTACTCGATACCGTAGAACTTCCCTTCGAGTTTCCTGATTTCGGCGAAATATGCGTCCATCTTCTCACTGGAGCAGGACTAGTCTTTGTTGAGCTAGTTGATGACCAGCGCAGAGTCTCCATATACCATGAGGCGTTTGACGCCGAGCTCGACGGCTATACGGAGTCCGTGGAGACATGCTTCATATTCGGCGGCGTTGTTGGAGGCTGGAAAATGTATTCGGAGAACATATCGGAGCTTGTCTTTGGTCGGCGTAATGAACAAAATGTCAGCGCCAGCACCGTTGATGTTAAGGGCACCGTCGAAGTACATCACCCAGTGCTCGGGGCAAGTAGTGAGGATGGACTTTTGAATCTCGGTCCACTCAGCGACGAAGTCAGCGAGCGCCTGTGACTTGATGGTAGGCCTGCTTCTGAATTCAATGGAGTAAGTGCCGAGCTCAACAGCCCACTTGATGATGCGGCCGTTGGCCTCTTTGTTGCGGAGGATGTCCCCCAGAGGTAACTCGGTGACCACGACGATCTTGTAATACTCGAAGTAATGGTGGAGCTTGCGTGACGTGATCAGAATAGCGTATAGCAGTTTCTGAACTTGAGGATAACGAGTTTTGGGCTCGTTAAGGACCTCGCTGATGAAGTAGACCGGACGTTGCACCTTATAGGCGTGCCCGGCCTCCTTGCCTTCGACGACGATAGCTGTGCTAACGACGCGAGAAGTGGCGGCGATGTAGATCAGTAGGGTTTCGTCTGGTCGAGGCACCGTCATGATCGGAGGCTTCGTTAGAAACAACTTAAGCTGCTCGAGAGCTGTATCTGCCTCTTCCGACCAGGAAAAGCACTCGGAGGCCTTGAGGAATTTGAAGAACGGTAGTCCCTTTTCACCGAGGCGCGATATAAAGCGGTTGAGAGCAGCCATGCAACCTGTAAGCTTCTGTATGTCCTTTACGCCGGTTGGCCGTTTCATGTTGGTGATGGCGAAGACCTTGTCGGGGTTGGGCTCGATGCCACGGGCGCTGACGATGTAGCCCAGGAGTATGCCGGATGGAACTCCAAAGATGCACTTTGAAGGGTTCAACTTCCATCTGTATCTTTTCAGGTTGGCGAAAGTTTCTTCGAGGTCGGCGATGAGATTATCGGCGGTCTTGGACTTGACGACCACATCGTCGATGTATGCTTCGACGTTGCGGCCTATCTGTTGATCGAGGCACATCTGGATGGCCCTTTGATAGGTCGCCCCGACGTTCTTGAGTCCGAAGGACATGATGGTATAGCAATACGCACCAAAAGGCGTGATGAATGACGTCTTGATCTGGTCGTCTTCCTTGAGGGATATCTGGTGATAGCCGGAGTAACAATCGAGAAAGGAGAGCAGTTCGCAGCCGGCGGTGGAGTCTACAACCTCGTCTATCCGAGACAGACCGAAGGGGTCTTTAGGGCTGTGTTTGTTGAGATCAGTGTAATCAACGCACATTCTCCATTCTTTATTCTTTTTTTTTAACGAGAACAGAGTTTGCTAACCACTCAGGATGATACACTTCTTTAATAAATCCGGCAGCTAGGAGCCGTTTTATTTCTACCCTAATAGTCTCCTTCTTGTCTGGCGCGAATCGTCGAAGTTTTTGCTTGATCGGTTTGGTGGTCGGCGAGACGTTCAAGGAGTGCTCGATCTTCTCCTGTGGTACCTCCGGCATGTCTGCAGGTTTCCAAGCAAACACGTCGGTGTTGGCACGTAGGAAGGAGACGAGCGTGCTTTCCTATTTGGGGTCGATGTGAGCCCCAATCTTCACGGTCTTAGAGGGGTCGTCGAGGCCGAGGCCGACCTCCTTGGTTTCCTTGGAATTGGCGGAGGCGCGCGGAGGCTCCGGCTCTGGGATCTCTAGGTCGTCGGCGTGCACGGTCTTGGACCACGCTAGCCATCTGGATAGAGAGGTCGGTGGCTTCGGCGGGGGCGAGACTCTGTCTCGCAGGCGTAGGCGATGGAGAGGTTGGCCCGCAGGGCCAGGACTCCTGCAGGCGAATGCATCTTTAGCACCAGATAGGCGTAGTGCGGTACAGTCATGAACTTAGCCAGAGCTGGCTGACCAAGTATGGTGTGGTAGGCGGTGTTGAAGTCGGTGACGTAGAAGTTGATGTGCTCGACGCGGTAGTTGCTAGCTGTGCCGAACTGTACTGGGAGGGTGATATCTCCAAGCGGTTTGGATGCCCTGCCAGGTACCACACCCCAGAAGGAGTCGGAGGGTGCGAGGTCTCCTATGCCGAGGCCCAGCTCCTTTAGGGCTCCGGCGAAGAGGAGGGTCAGGGCGTTTTCGCCGTCGACGAGTACTTTCCTGAAAAGCACTTTCCTGACGGTTGCATCAAGAACGAGGGGGAAACGTCCTTTGTAAGGGATGTCCGCCCACTGGTCGGCCCTGCTGAAGGTGATGGGGACCTCGGACCAGGGGCGATAGCTGGGGTTGGCGACGACGTCTTCCGCGTTGACGTCGAGCACCCGGCGGGCGGTGAGCTTCCGATCTCTTCTGCTCTCGGCGGCGGCGAGGCGCCCGAAGATGGTGGCGACCACTTTGTCGTGATCTTGGAAGGCGTTGTTGTTGCCCCCAGGTGGTCGGCGGCCTTCGGCTCCGTCGTTGTTGTCGTCGTCGTCCGGCTTTTTAGCCTAGAACTCTTTAGCCAAGCCGAGACAGTCCTTCATCTTATGCTTGCTGTTTTTGTGGAGAGGACACGGGCCTTCGAGGATCTTCTTATACTGCTCGTCATAGTTTCGCTTGGCGCGAGGTTCGTCAACGGCGGTGACGATGTGGCCTGGTCGTCGTCGGCGATATTGACCAGATTTGGACCCTTCTGGCCGATCATGGCCACTGTCCCGATGGTGACTGCGGTCGTCGTAGCGGCGGTCGCTGTGGCGCCGGTCGTCGGGTCGCTCGTCGCTGCTCGGTTTCCCCGTCCCGTGGGGGGCTATCGACGTTGACGTTGAAAATTCCGCCTCCACGGAAAGGAGGGAAAGGATGTTGTACGGCGGTGGTTTCGGCGACAGTCTCCGTAGAGCCCTGGGACTTGGAGTCTGGATTTTTCTCCAGGATGGTTTGGAGGGATGCTTCGGGGCGTCGGCCGACGTGTAGCATGTTGACAGCCAGCGAGAGCTGGTCGGCGATCTGGTCAGCGAGAGGATGGATATCTCCCACCTGGTCGGCGAATTTGCCCCTTAGGGCATCTTGATAGGCGGCGGCGACGATGGTGAGCCCGAAGGGTAGGGCCGTAGCCCCTGGAGTTTCCTGATTCACCTCCGATAGATCTGAATCGGAGGGTGGTCGGCGCTGGACCAGAGTGGTCAGAGCCGATTCTGCGATGGAGAGGCAATCGGTGAGCTTCTGGCCAACCTGATCGATGGATGCGATCAGATCGTCATTGTTGATTTGTCTTCTTGGGTAGCGGGGGAGCGGGCGGCGAATTGTCGGCGAAGGCGACCTTGGAGGCGGTTCCGAGATCGGATCTGCAGTCGCAGGTGTTGGGGTGATCAGCGTAGTATTGATCTGCACCGGCTCAATGAGCTCTCCGACTCCGT